TTAGAATTTGGTGGCCATTTGTTGCTGGTTTTCAACAGAACAGCAGCCAGCACTTCCTGGATTATGTGGGGAGCTGAAGAACCATGCTTCCCTCTAACTTCATTGGGAACCAAGAACTGGCAAGGATCCTCGCTCTCTGCAGGCAGAGTCCTCAATGGTCAGAAAGAGAAAGACCCGATAAGGGGGAAGCCAACTTGCTCAGAAAAGTGTAGCCGGAAGACTTGCAGGCCAGTCAAGAGAGAAGAGAAAGCACTCTCCATAATTGGAACAAGCCATCATGAAAACAATCCCAAACTTAATTCACTTAGATGGGACTTCACATGGTGCTTAGAAGAATTAGCACTTTATCTTTGCAGACACAAGAATCAAGAACTCGTTCTGCCACTGTGCAGCCACTGATGCCCTTTTTTTTTCCCTTTTTTTTGAAGAGGCAGCAAAAGAGGCATCTTTACAGCTTGCTGTGGGAACTGCAGTTGTGGACAAGGAATGGCTGATATGTCCTCGGGATGTCAGTCTCTAGCAGGTGGTCAGGAAGACACAAACCCTGTACCCAGGGCCAGCGTGGATCCAGCTGTGCCCCCCTCCTGAACACCTGGAAGCCAGGTTCCCTGGTGGGGTGGCATCGCAGGCACAGTGACCCCCCATTACCCCCATGGGGGAAACCCTGCCTCACTGCTCACCCAAAACAGACCATCAAAGGAACTGGAGTGACTTTTTTTGAGAGAAGCGGTTACAACTGGAGGGCTGTAGTTAACCGTGGCCAAGCTTTTCCATTGTTATTTTACAGTTGCTTGATGTTCTGAAAGATATTTAGAAAAATGACTTCAACTGCCCTGTGCCAAACTGGGCGAGGGTGAAAAAAAAATTAAATTTGGCAGACATGTTATTCATTCAGCATGTAGTTTGGATGACGTCCAGTGACTAACACAGGATTTTTAACTCATCTGGGAGTCTAAAAACCATTCACAAATAATTTGATTTAGGGTCACTGTGATTTCTTTTTATAAATAATTTTCATTGAGAAGTATTTTTTTAATTAGGATCGACAGACCTAATAGCAACTCTATTGTGCGCACAGTTCATCGTTCCCGTCTTCATAAATGACTTACATATGTGGTGTGCTAGTTTCTTGTTCACTGCACACGATGAGGCTTGTTCACGGGGCAACCAATGCCTCACAGACTGCACAAGCCATGCTGAACTCCTGTCTCCAAAGGCACTCTCTGAAGAAGACCCAGATGGAAAGCAAAGGAAGCTTTCACCATCCTGTTAAATGGTGATCCACAGGTCCAGGGGCTGGTCTAAGCCTTTGCACAACTTCAGACATCCCCACGCAGCTGTAACTGCCTTCTAACTGCTCCGGCTCCAAGAGGTGGTAATGGCAACTTTGCTTTGACTGTTTTATTGCTCCAAGTCCCATCATGGCTCAGGAAATACTCTGAACCAGAATATGCTCCCTTTTCCATGGTGGGAGGGCTGAACAAGGACTGGACCAAGTCAAAGATCTGAGGCATCCTGGCAAAAAGCTGTGTCCAATGACAAATCTAAATTCAAGTCACCCCCTAATCCAGTGGGTCACACAACTAAGCCTGAATAGATCCAGGAAGACTGCAGGATAATTCGGACGGCGGATGGGAGAAGAATGGGTCAGCGACTCGAATGCATCTTTCCTGGCAACATCCTCCAAGTGTGACAGCCTTTTCATTGACTTGCACAATAACAATTGCATCTCAGCCACTTTTGTTACAAATCTTATCTGTTGTTTGAATGGCTCTTAGATTCCCTCCTGTGATTATAAATGTTCGTACAAGTTCTTGGAGTCAGCAGAGTTGTTTATAGCTGAATAACAGGCTTGGGCTCCAAACTTTGTGATGCTCGCTGTAATGATCAGATATGTTCTTAAAAGCCCTCCAAACTGGATTTCGAAAAAAAAGTCCCCTTGATCTCAAGCCTGAAATCCCAGCCATGACTCTGAAAGCCTTCTCCCCTGTCTTTCAGAGGAACTGAAACTGGTGCAATAAAGGACGACTACAACAGTCAAAGAGAGAATTTATCTTATGAGAGGAAACTACCAGAACTTGGTCTTATTTAGACTACCAGAACAGGGGCTGAAGAGGATATAATTGCTACTGAGAGACAAATAGAAGGGGAGAAAACATAAAAAACCTTATGAAAACTCCAAGCTGAAAGTTGTGGAGCTGTAAAGAAGCCATTGATATATTCAGGCTGGGGATGAAAAGATTTCTGATTTTCAGAGCAAAGGAGCCCACAGAAGAAGCCAACATGAAGCCTGATAAACATATGGGACATATTGATATGACTACAACAGCAAGGGAGGGCAGCGTGTGACCCAGGAGGTCCCCACAAGATCACTCTCCAGTCTTTGGCCATCAGTACCTGGACGAGGTATGAAGAGATTCCCCTGGCTCCTGCATCTGTCCATCGCCTTTGTCCATCCTGTTTTGCACCTCACTTTGCTCAAGCAGTCATCCCAGGCTTGTCTTGGCCATGTTATCTTGTTTTAGTACTGGGCAGACCATTGCAGGTCCCTGCAGCACAGCCACGGCCAGCCACCCAGGAGGGGCTGCTATGGTTGAGCTCCTATTGAAAAACATTACCTATTGGGAAGAAAAAACATGTTTTTTGCTTTGTTCTTTTTCCTTAAATAAGCAAATGCCTGTATTCAAGCCAAATTCTGACTCAAAACCAGAGTATTAGGTAGTTGCTGTGACTAGCAACACAGAATGATGCTGGGCAAGCAAGGGTCCCACCAATACCATCCCACCAAAGGAGAAACATTGGCAGGTCTGTTCCCGGGATCACCAGTATTCACCTGGAGTGCATCGACTCTGAAAGGAATAACGCTGGTCTGTGTTGGGGAGGAAAAATAACCTCTGCTGCTGGCTGCACTTGATCAGCATCGTCACCACCAGCAATTCTCACCCCACCATGGTCAGAGACAGACTGGCCATGTGTTTCCTGGACACCAGGCTTTCACCAAATGCATTTCCTCAGCAGTTATATATTTACCAGCTCTCCCGCATGAATAAAGCAGTGGTTTAGACTCCATAAGGATACCTGCTGGTGTTAGCAAGAAGTGTCATCGTTAGACCTCAGTTAAAATCGTTTCATGTCATTTGTCTTCGGGATAAAAAAAGCAAACCGAGAGAGAGGGACTGCCAGAGCATCAGCCTTCAGCCTGCCACAGGGGTGCAGCACAGCGATGCCAGCCTGGCCGCGCAGTTCCCACACCGGGGATAGGGCAGGCTGAAAATCAAAGGTTGCATCCACATAGCACGGCGCGTCCCAGGCGTTCAGGGCATTTCTGCAAGCTGACACACAGCTGCTGACAGCTTGCAAGCTGCAGTTCACCGCAGCTCCGAAACATCACTTCTGTATTAAAAGGAAACTGTTTTCCTGTCTATTTTTTTTGTTGTTACCCATGGAGTCACTAATAACAAACGCCTTAAAAAAAGATGGGGTAGACTGGGGGTTCCTCCCATGATATCTAAGCAACATCTAAGACCCGCAGATGTCTCTAGAAATTTAATCTTTCTCCTCGATGAACGCATACATTATTTCCTCCAGCGCAGAGCACATCACGCGGGCCACCACGACATCTGCCTCCTAGCACGACTGCTTTGTGTACCACACTTGCAGGTTTTTTGAGATGCTCAAGGCAGCACCGATGCCCTCCACGCAAGTTGGCACTCACTGTCCTGGAAGCAGCAGGCAGGGAAGCAGGCAGGGAAGGGACTTTTAGCCAAAGCCAGCCTGCCAGTTTGCTTCCTGGCCTGCAGCACTGGGAGGAAGCATCCTTACTTGGGCTGGAGCTGGCTTGGGATTTGGGATTTGGGATTCAGCGTTTGGTAACAAGGACTGGAATCAAAGGGATCTCCACGAAAACCCACCAAAAAGCAGCAGTTTAATAAAAAGCAAACCAGTCACCTGCAATGGGGATGCTCGGAGGGCAGCCTGCCTGCAGCTCTGCCCGCCGGCAGCTGCCCCTTCCGACCCGGTCCTCATCCCCACTCTGCTCCCGGGAGGTCCGGCGCTCCCGGCACCCCGCCGCGCCATAGATGTATTAATTAATTTCATTAGCAGCTCCGAATAAATACATATCCTCGCACCCGGGAAGCCCCTCCGCCCGGTACCCCGATGCCGGGC